AAAACACCACATCAACAGAAAAACAAAACATGTTCTTGAATGTTTGATTAAGAAAATGTGTTCTTTAAACCAGGCATGCAAGGACACATTTTTTGTTTTGGTTTTGTAAAACGAAAAACATTATTACCACTTATAATGTGTTTTATGTGTTTTTATTTTAAGAAAATAACGTTTTCCTAAACCATTTGTGAGGACTGAGGCTCAAATTTCTTGCTATCAAAATTTAGAAAAAAAATAAATTCATGTTTGAGAACATAGCCTTTGGTGTTCCGTCAACCTTCACATAATAGACCTAAAAGTGGACTTGACCAAATCATTCATCCAGTTCAAAATGAATATGATACATAACCATCAGATCCTCCAAAATATGTACGGTGCAAATACATACAAAATAATATAAAATAAAAGGTTTTGCACTCTACATTTTTTGTAATTTGTACTCCTTCCAAACTGAGCCTTACTGTTGAAGCACGAATACAAAGGAGGATAAGATATGATGTGAGCCTTGTAAAATGGGAGATCTTGTTTTCTATTTAATTATTGTCTCATTTTCTAGGATATTTGTTGAGTTTCCTTTTTGAAACTGCCTTGCACCAGGTATTCATTTAGTAGCAGACCGGGAAAATTGATACTGACGAGAAGGGCCATGTGAGAAGCCATGTTCTGTACAATATGCAACAATAGTCGAGCTTGTATTCATCTCCTTAATTGTAATTGTAATCTTGGTGCCTCTCATCCCTAATCAAAATTTGGGAGAGGTGTCTTCGGGCCGTTGAATCTAAAATATTCTTTTTATTAAAAAAAATCTCAGTTAAAACTTAAAAACTTAAACGTGTAGCGTGTAGGTCAATTTAGTTACGCATGCTAAATGCCTAAATCCACAGGTTACTTGTGTTGGCATGAATTAACCACAGAGTAGGCCCCAGTGTTTTAGATATCAGGACATATTAATATGCTTTTATTTTTAGTGCACAATATTTGATCGTACTTGGATGTGTGGATCTTTATGCTATGTGGGCCAAATAACCTTGGGGTCCAAATTTTCTGAAACCCAGCGGCTGGTTCATTTTATTTGTAATTTTCCTTGTGATCTTCAGTGCCTTTGTGATGTGGACTTTTTGGGAAGGGCGTCCCTTCATCTGTCTGCATGGCAGCAGGGCCTCACCCCCCAGACATGAAGTTGTAAAATCATTTGTAGTGCTAGACTGCTAGGCCATTTTCAATACAACCACCGCCATGGCCCAGTATCGAGGTTCCCTTAAAACTTGAAAGGATTAGATATGTGGACACGTATTATATATTTATATAGTCCTAACTCCTGATGTTGAAGACACCTTCCTCCGAAAATCTTGACAAAAGGACAATCGTATTCATGAGAAAATTTTGACAAATTTTGATGTTGAAGACACCTTCCTCCGGCCTTATTCGGATATACCACATCCCCGTTTTCGATCCTTATCCTCAGGATCCATCGATAGGGACATAGAATCCGGATCACCTGTTAATAAAATACATTCCAACAACCTACCAACAAGATCTCACATCATATATCTCATACATGGTCCGTATCATTTTTATGGTGGAAGGTGTTTTCGATCTCAACTCCCATGAATAAAAAAAAGTTATTCATCATACTCAAATCCTTGGAATTTTTAAATTGATTTTTTTTTAAATAAATTTATTTAAAATAATATAATTTTTAATGTACAAATATTTTAAATATATTTTAATAATATCATAAAAACTATTATATATACATTTTTAATATATATAATCCAAGGCGGGGCGGGCACTCCCCATCCCATCCTAGTTCCCAATCGGACATCACTATCAATCTCCATCTCCACCAATGTTGCAATGCAATCTACATTCCCGGACCCAATGGGGTCAAGGAAACCAGACTGGGATGGGAAAATCGTCATCTGTATGCTAGGGGTGATAATGAGAAATCGAAAAAACAAACCAAACCAATGAAATCGAATTGAAATTTCCAATTAACCGAATTGGTCGGTTTGATGTTTTCAAAAAATCAAAGATATCGGTTCAGTTTTGGTTAATCAATATAAAAAAAATTGACAATTAATCAAACCAACTGGTATATATATATGTGTGTGTGTGTGTTTATAATATGTAATATATTATTTATTATTTATAATATAATGTTTTATATATATTTATAATTTTTATTATATATCTATATCTATATAAATATATTAAGCTGAAATATGTAAGTAAGAAGGCCTGAGCATAAGGGAAATGAAATCTAACTGTATTTTTTGCCTTTTTTTCTTAAAAATTACAAGAATGCACTCTTTCTCCTACCATCTCTCTCTCTCTTTTTCTTACAAATTACAAGAATGCCATATCTCCCTCTTGTCATCTCTCTCTCCTTATAAATTACAAGAATGCCACTCTCTCTCCAATTGAGGGAGACCTCAGCTCAACATCTTGGCTACTAGGTAGGGGTGTAAACGGATCGAATTCGAATCGGATCAAACAATATCTGAATTCGAATCCGACTAGAAAATCCGATACCCAAATTCAATTCGATATCCGACGGATATTGAAAATTAATATCTTAGCACCTCGACAACTGAGGGAGACCTCAGTTCGACACTTTCTCAACTAAGGGAGACCTTAGTTCGACACCTCGCCTACTAGGGAAACTTCAGCTTGACACTTCAGCAGCTGAGGGAGACATCGATTTGGCACATTGGCAATTGAGGCAGACCTCGGCTTAACACCTCGACTGTTTGAGAGACCTATAATCAAAGGTAGCCAAGTTCGAACTTCCAAGCTTTTGACTTGAGCTCGAGCCTGATAGTTTATGAGCGAGCCCCTACAACGTAGGGCCCCCTCCGCTAGTAAATATATTAAGCCGAAATGTATACGTAAGAAGGCCTGAGGATGAGGGAAATGGAATCTAACATTATTTTTTGCCTTTTTTCTTAGAAATTACAAGAATGCCACTCTCTACCAACTCTCTCTCTCTTTGCTTTTTTTCTTTCAAATTACAAGAATGCCACTCTCTCTCTCCTACCAACTCTCTTTATCTCTTTTTCTTACAAATTACAAGAATGCCATATTTATCTCTCTGTCGTCATCTCTCTCTCTCTCTCTCTCTCTCTCTCTCCTTATAAATACAAGAATGCCACTCTCTCTCCAACTGAGGGAGACCTCGGCTCAGCATTTCGGCTGCTAGGGGACTTGCAATCAAAGGTAGTCGATCTCAAGCTAGACAACACCTCAACCATTGAGGGAGACCTCGGCTCGGCACCTCGGTCATTGAGGGAGATCTCGACTCAACACCTTGACAACTGAGGGAGACCTTAGCTCGACACCTTGTCAACTAAGGAAGACCTTAGCTCGACACCTCGCCTGTTAAGGAAACCTCAGCTTGACACTTCAACAACTGAGGGAGACCTCAGTTTGGCACCTTGGCAATTGAGGGAGACCTCGGCTGCTTGAGAGACCTACAATCAAAGGTAGCCGAGCTCGAACTTCCGAGCTTTTGACTCGAACCGAGCTCGAGCTCGAGCTCAAGTCTCTAATTCGAATCGAGCTTGAGCATGATAGTTTATGAGGGAGCCCCTACAACACAGGACCCCTTCCGCCATCTCTCTCTCTCTCTCTCTCTCTCTCTCTCCTTGTAAATTAAAAGAATGCCACTCTTTCTCCAACTGAGGGAGACCTCAACTCGACTTCTTGGCTACTAGGGGACATGCAATCAAAGGTAGTCGAGTTCGAGCCGAGCCGAACTTGAACTTCTGAGCTCAAGCTCAAGTATCTAATTCGAATCGATCTCTAGCTAGACGACACCTCAGTCACTGAGGGAGACCTCGGCTTGGCACCTCGGTCACTGAGGGAGATCTCGGCTCAGCACATCGACAATTAAGGGAGACCTTAGCTCGACGCCTTGTCAACTAAGGGATACCTCAACTCGGCGCCTTGTCAACTAAGGAAGACCTTAACTCGACACTTTACTTGCTAGGGAAACCTCAGCTCGACATTTCAGCAGCTGAGGGAGATAGCCGAACTCAAACTTCCAAGCTTTTGACTCGAGCTGAGCTCAAGTCTCTAATTCGAATCAAGCTCGAGACTAATAGTTTATGAGCGAGCCCCTGCAACACAGGGCCCCCTCCACTAGTTTATATATTGATTTATAATATATATTATAAAAATAAAAAAACCCGAAAACCAAACCAACAATTAACTGAATCAATCAACCGGTTAATCAATCGACTTTTATTCGATTTTTGGCTTCCAGTTTTCCAAAAAACCGATACTACGGTTCTATTTGCAAAATAGGCCTAACTGAACCGCACCCCTCCGTAAACAAAGAGGGAAGCAGTGAACGAATTGCAGAGCGTCGGAGATTGTGGACTAATAAAACTTATGGTTTGGGTTGAATGCTGCCGGAGACAACTCTTTGCGTTAGTTTTCTTTGTTCGTCGCCAATTATCAGTTCTCAATCCTTCTCTGTACTCAGTGTTGGTTCGCTGATAGCAGGAATAATCCCACACCTGTTTTCGGTCAAGCACGTAACTCAGTAAGGCTAAGTGAAAAGAACGAAGATTATTAACTTGAAAAGGTTAAGTGGAAAGAAAAAGGTTATAAATATAATATCTAATTGAAGTCATCTGTTAAGACATTGAAAGGGGTTAGAAGAGCTGGGAGCAAATAAAAAAAGATATAGATAAAAGGGGTTCCCACGGTTCGGGTAACCGAACCGTGGGCCTTTTTTTCAACTAAACCGGTAGTACCGGTTTTTGGTAAACCGGTAACCGGAACTGAACCGAAATCAGTTGATTAACCGGTTGACCGGTTCGGTTCGCCGGTTTTTTGATTTTTTAGTTTTTATAATATATATTATAAAAAAATATATAAAATATTATATTTAAAGAATAAATAATATATAATATTCACCAATCTACGTGAGCCCTGTGATACTTTAAACATTTTTCCATATTAATGGCGGCAATTCTTTTCATTGTTTAAATTTTTATTTCACACGTGGTTGGGGCGTTGTGCCGAGCCTTCTGTTCTGTTATTCCCTAAAAAATGGTCGCCACCTCGAGGTTATTGAGCAGGAACAGGAAGGCCTTTAACAGATCCTAAAGAATCATGATCTCTTGGAGTTGGAAACCTTCGAGTTGAATTTAGGGTTATCCATTGACGGTATACAATTTCTTCAACAGAAATTTCATCCGGATCCCAGACATTCTGGTTTCCAGTTCTAAATTCGTCTTTCTGTTTTTTTTTTTTTTGGTTCGTCTGATTATTTTCGTCTCTGATTCTCAAATTGTTTGTTATGATTGTAGCAGTCATGTCTTCAGATCTCCTTCTAAAGCCGTCATGTAGCGGCTGTGGGTCGACGACGGATCTTTACGGAAGCAATTGCAAGCACATGACTCTCTGTTTATCCTGCGGGAAGGCAATGGCAGAGAACCATGGAAAATGCTATGAGTGCGGAGTTATTGTTACGCGATTGATCCGGGTTTGTATTATTCTGATCATTTGGCATGAATACACTCTGCTCAATATTCGATTATGGGGTTATAAAGATGCAGCTGGTTTGAATTTGGCAATTCTTTTCCGAGTCCAATTCTTTTATGTGTTCTTGTTTTTCTTTTTCGTATGCTTTAATGTGTTCAAGTTTCTGAAGATATTGTTTTTTTTTTTAAACTCCTTTGCTCAGGCGTGTTGAAACTTGGAATCAGATAAATTATTTCTCTACGTTTTAATTGTTATTAATTGTCGCTGGAGCATTTTAGAATCCATCTTCTGTTGTCTGTAGGAGTACAATGTTCGTGCAAGCTCTGCTAGTGATAAGAGTTACTTCATCGGTAGATTCGTCACAGGAGTTCCAAATTTTTCAAAGAAGAAAAATGCCAATAATAAATGGTCTCTACAGAAAGAAGGACTCCAAGGACGCCAAGTTACTGATGCCTTGCGGGTATTCATTTATCAATTTCATTTTTGCTATCTTTACTTTTGATGCAGTGATGAGATTTCACATAGTTGTTGGGACAGTGGATTCCCTTATTGTTTAGTAGGCATGATTTTTATATTTAGAATTTGGGTGGTTCTAGTTTTTCTTCCTGGTTTCTTATGAACGAGTTAGTTTCCCTAGTTGGCCTAGCAACTAGAAAACATTAATAGTGAACTAACATAAAAGAATCAAACACTAAGAACATTATATAGACTATGGAAAACTAGGGAACGGATCTCTTTTCTGTTATAGGAGGGAGATGCAAAGATAATATGTGTACATGTGCTTTAAATAAAAAAAAAAAGAAAACAAACATATAAAGGGATGGGGCCCTTATTATTTTGAATATGACAAATATATAAAGGAGAGAACATGTAGGTGCGTCAATTGCAGAGAGTGAAAAAAAATAACAGGATCCTTATTCTGGTCACATGTGGAAAGATAACGAGGTGTTTGCAGAGGATCACAAAAAAATGAAGGGACAAAGCTCATTTTCTTGATTTTTTAAGTTCAAGTTCAAAGTTGGCCCTTTACAATGCCCTCTTACACCCTTATTTATACAATGTGATATGGTTAGCTGCATGACAGTAAGAAGTGAGTTGTTACAAGTCAAAGGGTCTATAAGAGCTATAAGCAGCTGAAAAAAGGCACAGGTTGAATTAGTGACAACATAGTTTTCAAGGCGCCAAGGCAATGGATTTTTTCAAGTAAAAATATGATCCTAGGGTAATTCCCTAGGTTCCATAATCATATTTCCTTAATAATTATCCATAATTTTCATGAGAAAGTATAAAATTCATGTTAAAGAATAGAAAATCAACATATTCCTACATATTCATGAGGAAAAAAGAAGAAAGAAAAGAAATTTCAAAAAATATAAGGGCTGAACCCCTATTTCTGTTATAGGAAAAGAAGAAAAGAAAAGGTGGAAGAAGAAAATTGGTATATAGTATAGACACAGAAAATATGTAAAGAAAAAGAAGTAATGTGTTGGTTAGATTTAAGTTCATCCTTACTTATTGGTTCAGATTTTGAAGTCTTTCAGGGTTCGATACAGCATTTAGCAATGTTTGTGTTGATTAAACCCTAACAAATAAGAAAATAATAAAAAGAAAATAGTATATAAACACACAAAATGAATATTTTAGTTTAAAAACATCTATTTCAAAATTATAGCCTCAAAAAATTGAGAATATAAAAGTTTTGTCTAACACAGTATAGAAAACTGCTTGGCGATTAGGCGAGGCGAGCCTCCAAGGGCGCCTTGTCGCCTAAGCGTCACCTTGACAACTATGAGTGACAAATGATTTAAGGGATCATGATTTAACAATGACTATAAAACTGAACCGAGAAGAAAGGCAGAAGAGATTCATGGTGGAGATTGGAAGCTCAGGTAAAAGATCGTGGAAGTGGGAGAAGTCAGGAAAATTCTCTGTGAATTCTTTTTACAATGCTCTTTTTGGTTCAGAAGAGCAATCAGTCAGCCAAAATTATTTGATGCAAGAATGTGCCCACAAAAGTAGCAATTTTCATTTGGACTGCCTATTTAAACAAATCTTACTAGGGACAATTTTCTTCGAAAGGGTATGGTGTTGGACTGCCCACAAAAGTAGCAATTTTCATTTGGACTGCCTATTTAAACAAATCTTACTTGGGACAACCTTCTTCGAAAGGGTATGGTGTTGGACTGCCCACAAAAGTAGCAATTTTCATTTGGACTGCCTATTTAAACAAATCTTACTCGGGACAACCTTCTTCAAAAGGGTATGGTGTTGGTTTCAGCAGACTGTGTGTTGTGTGAATGGCACTTGGAATCAGTGAACTGTCTACTGTTACACTGCAGTTTTCCACAAAGTATGGTCTAAAATATAGAACTTGTTTGAAGTAAAGAGCTGCTGTCCAAGGTTGGTGATGGAGTTTGTAGGTCAGAGGGCTGAAGGGCTGAGAAAAAAAGGAAAATTGGCTTGGAATATTGTCCTGGCTGTGGTTTGTTGGTGTTTGTGGCAGGTGATAAATGCAAGAATGTTCAAGAACAAATGCAGCTCTGCTGATACAGTTTTTCAGAAGGTGTTGAGGAAGATGTTTTCATGGCTGGCTACTCATAAGTTGTTTAAAAATTATAGGATATAATTCATTTTTTTGTACATGGAATCTTGTTGTACATGATCTTTTGTTTTCTTTCTTCTTATATGATACAATACTTCACTTTCAACCTGTGGTCTTTTTGTAAATATTTACACACTTTATCAGTAAAGTTTTGATTACTTGTCAAAGAAACCATAAGAAAATTCTAAGAATTGAAGAATTAAAAATATGCTACCGAACTCTTGCTATAGGAGATTATAAATTTCTCTTGAACTATTGATCATATCAATAGGGGTATCTCTTTTGTTTTGATACTGTTGAGACCCACCAAACCCATGCGGAGGAAGGCTTAGGCCCATCAGCAGACCCCAGGCACTCTAGGCATCCTCCCCTCTCTCGTCAGTTCACCTAAGGGCAGAAGGGCTTGAGCACCACATCAGCAAATCTAGTGCAAAGGTCGTTACAACAGTCACATGAAGATATTTGTCTATATGATTGTAATGGGGAGCCAGCTATATAAGACCCCAAGTTTTTAATTAGCAACATATAGTAAATTGAGATCCTACTCTCTCTCTCTCTCTCTCTCTTTTCATTCTTTCTTCCTCTCTCCCGTATTTCCCCATCCATGTTTTCTGTTTCAAGAGACTAAGTTTCCCTTGAAGAGACTTCCGTGGTGAGAAACTTGTTTTGTAACTCTTGACGACAAGGTCGACTAGATTGAGATCAATCTCCAATAGATGGCCTTGGAGATAGTTGTTGAGTGTAGAAAGAGGAAGAAGAAGAAGAGTTACGGGAGAGAATAAGGTGTTACTATTCACACCCAAAATATTTCATTATATATTAAGTCAGAAATTACAGTCCTGTCCCTATAAGGGTGCCCAAAATACAAATAATAGGAAAAGACAACAATACCCCTAAATCCAAATGCACATTCTCAATACTCCCCCTCAAGCTTAGCATAGATATCTATCATGTCCAACTTGCCAAATTTCTATCAAATTTTGGCTTGTTGAGACCCTTAGTGAGGCAATCAGCAAGTTGGTTCTTTGACCTAACAAAAGGCACACATATTTCTCCATTAGTTATCTTTTCTCTAATGAAGTGTCTGTCAACTTCAATATGCTTTGTGCGGTCATGTTGAATAGGGTTATGAGCAATGTTTATGGCAGCTTGATTATCATAGTGAAGCATCATTTGGGTTTCAGCTTGGATCCCAATCTTTGATAACAAAGACTTCAACCATAGCAATTCCGATACACCATGAGCCATAACTTTATATTTAGCTTCAGCACTAGATCGGGCAACAACAAATTGTTTTTTGCTTTTCCAAGAGACAACCTTACCTCCTACCAAGGTGCAGTAATCGGAGGTGGATCTTCTATCATCTATAGAGCCTACCCAATCAGCATCAGTATAAGCCTCAACCTTGAGATGTCCCTGGTTAGAGTATAACATTTCTTTACTTGGACACCCCTTTAGGTAGGCAAGAATCCTGTTGACAGCTTGCATATGTGAAGTTCTAGGACTACGCATATACTGATTCACCATGCTAATAGCATAGGATATATCAGGCCGAGTTAGGCACAGGTAACGAAGCCGACCAACAAGCCTCTGGTAGACACCCTTGTCTGGAAGAGTATCTCCACCATCAGCCCTCAATTTATGACTGAGGTCAATAGGAGTTTCAACTGGCTTACACCCCAGTTTCCCAACTTCATAAAGGAGATCAAGGACATACTTCCTCTGTGAAATGAATATCCTCCCTTTGACCTTGCCACTTCGATTCCAAGAAAGTATCTAAGATTCCCAAGATCTTTGATTTCAAATCCAGAAGCAAGGAATGACTTTAGTTGGTTTATCTTTGAGTGATCATCTCCACTGACAACAATATCATCCACATACACTATCAACAAGGTGAGTAGGCTATTAACCCTTTGTATAAACAAAGTATGGTCCACTTGTGATTGTGTAAACCCAATTCTAAGAATAGCTTTCCTGAATCTATCAAGCCAAGCTCTAGGGGACTGTTTAAGTCCATAAAGAGATTTTCTTAAACGATAAACCTTCCCCTCATTGTTAGGTAAGATATTATCCTTGGTGGTAAATCCATGTATACCTCCTTCTAAAGATCTCCATTTAGGAAGGCATTCTTCACATCCATCTAATATGGAGGCCATGAATAATGAGCAGCGAGAGACATAATAACTCGAATAGAGTTCATTTTGGCTACAAGAGCAAAGGTCTCTAGATAGTCAATCCCATATGTTTGGGTGTATCCTTTTGCCACCAACCTAGCTTTGTATCTTTCAATTGATCCATCAGCCTGATGATTAATGGTATACACCCACTTGCATCCCACTGGAACTTTGCATTTAGGAAGAGGAACAAGCTCCCAGGTGTGGTTTTTTTGGAGAGTTTCTATCTCTTGGTTCATAGCATCCTTCCACTGAGGTGACTGTATTGCATCTGAAACATTACGAGGAACAAAAACAGAGGAGATAGCAGTAACATAGGCATGATAGGAAGGTGAAAGAGCATCATAAGAAACATAGTTAGTGATGGGGTAGGCAGTACATTTCCTTTTTCCTTTTCTAACTGCAATGGGAAGGTCAAGGTTAGATTGTGAGACATCAGATTCAATAACAGTAGGAGAAGGAGGTTTAGGATTGTCTTCAGAGTTACCTAGAACCGGGTGATTTGATTATTGTGCACATTCAGCCTCAGGAGTATCCTTCCTTCTACGCCTTATAAATCACTGCTTTCAGGATCGCTGGAGAGGAATAGGAGGAGCAGGAATATTGTTACTGCAAGGGGAAGATGAACTAGGAATGTCCATAGAGGTAGGAATGCGAAAACAAAAAGGAGTCCAATCTTCACAA